CCTCCCACCCCATGGCTGGAGGGAGCAGGCTGGGTGCCCGGCTCCCTTCCCTCTCTCCATCCCAGCTGGCTCAGTCCAGCTCAACCCCCAGCCCCGCACAGATCCCGCAGAGAGGAGGAAGGGGGGCACCTGGCCATAAAGTGGGAGACTGTGTCAGCTGGGCAGGAGACCCCAGGTTCTGGGGAAATGCTGCAAGGGAACCAGGGTCAGCTGGAGACTCCCCACCTGCCCCTTTGAAACATGCGGAGGTTCGTACCTCTTCACCCCTCTTTGCTGCACCTCTCTCAGAGGCGGTGGGGGAGAAAATCGACTTGTAAACGGACTATCTGATAAGCAAATGCTTATCGGATAGTCAACTAGTCCTTAATATCCCTAGTGTAAACCAGTGTGTTACCCCATCTAACCCAGACTTGAAGACTCTGTTTGCTTCATATTTTTATCATAATTTTATGTCTATATATTCATATTCACATTACAGTGTTTAACTCTATGCATCTGACAAAGTGGGTCTTTGCCCACAAAATCTTATGCTCCAATATATCGGTTAGTCTAAAGTGCCCCAGGACTTCTCGTAAATCTGTGTGGTCAATTAGATCAGCAATGCGCAACCCATGGGTTGTGACTCACAAGGGGTCGTGGCTGTCTTCCTGGGATGGGAGGGGAAGGTCGCGGCACCGGGTCAGCCACCATTTTGTTTTCACGGCTCCGCCCCCGACGGGAAGGGGGCAGTGACGGGAGCAGACCAGCGTTTTAAATTAAAGGGGTCACAACAAAATGTTCCCAGTGCCTTTTTTTCTTTCCTCCTCAAAACTTTTCCCCATTTTTTTTTCTGCTCAACCAAAATTTTCCCGGCCCTGGGGATCACAAATTAAAAAAAGGTTGAGCACCACTGAATTAGCTGTAGAATCTTTTACAGCTTAGGGTTGCTTTCTACCTTAAAAAACCTGCCAACCTGCTCAGAACACTATAAAGTACTATGCACTAGTAAAGAATGAAAAAGCCACTTGAGTTATTGCATTTTATGACTTCCCCCCACATTTTAGCGTAAAAGCCTTGAGGAAGTTAAAACATCTCTTCTAGTCTCAGTACATGAAGTAAATGTTAAAGAATTTTCAGTGTAACAAATAGCAAAGACAAAATTATGAATAGTTAAACACACCTATCAGAGCTAGTAGAACTCCGATTCCTTTTTCTTGGAGTAACAGCTGCCATCTCAAAAAAGTGCCTGAAAATTAGAAAACATTTCAAGATATAACTTCATAAGTTACACACAAATATAACTATTATAAATGATATAATATTCACTCTTTAAAATAGCCTTAAAATGTATACCAATCTAGAAAAGCCACTTTCCACTGGTTTCTAAAGCAAGCTCTTTTTATTTTTAAAGAAACATTTAAAGGATGGTGACTGTTGCTAAACCTGACATGTTTGTCTAACATGCTCTTAAAAGTCTCCAGTGATTCTACAACCTCCCTAGGCAATTTATTCCAGTGCTTAACTATCCTGATAGTTAGGAAGTTTTTCCTGATGTCCAACCTAAACCTCCATTATAAGACTACATTAAAGATAGAAACTTGGAGAAATAGTATAAATAGAGTCAAAGTATTTAAGAGCAATGTCTAAATAGTGGTTCCCAAATTTGGCTTTAAGTCATAACGTAGACCAAGTTACCATGATGCTAGAGAAATCTCATTACATTAGCTGTCCCTCATGAAACATAAGAACTAAAATCACAGGTTAGTAGCATATGCTTCAGAAGCAGGTACAAGAAACCCAATTAAGATGCAATTGTTGATTAATCTGCCAATAAAAAGATTTCTCCTGACCCACATTGATTCATTTGTACCTGGAATCATGAGTGTTTATAACCCATACAACAAGATTGCTATCCTAATGGGACTCTGGATATTTTCAAGCTATATATCCAATCCTTTCTTTAATCCTATTAAGATTTTGGCTTCAATCAGTGTGCCCAAAAGTTTGTTATGCATTGGGTATCAGTTTTAAAGTACACTGTTTTGCAATATATGTGCATTTGCTTATGCCTTATGGGTAAGATTAAACAAGTGTCCCATTTACTTTTTCAGAACCATTATTTTTGCTTTTCAGTCGTGTCCCCATTAATCTTCTCTCTAAAACGTTCTACTATTTCCACATGTAAACTGGCCAGGAATCTAGGGAGTGAAGAACTACCAAATGAGACTCTTGACTGGACCGGATCAAGGTCCCTTCCAGCTTTAGGAGGCAGGTGTCTCTCCCTATATTCCCAGCTCTACACCTGGTCAGTTCAGGTGCCAGATAAAGGTTCTGGCAGGGGGGAGGCAGCAGGCCATTATGCTGCTGCTAGCAGCGTAGCTATGGGGAGGGCACTTTTTGGATACTGTTAAGTCGTAGGCAGGGTCCCGATGCTGGAAGCTCATCCTGCTCCAAGCAGCTCCATCTCCCCTGCTCTTGATACTGTACACTGCGCTGCACAGCCCCGGGGGGGTCCGACTCGCTAGCCTCCTGTGGCTTACTGGCCATGGCTAGTTCGCTACTGCATCCGCAATGGCGGGGGTGGAAGGGAGGGTGGACACGGCCATGCGATGGCAGTGTAGTGCCAGGGTTATGGGGAGGTAGGAGAAGGGGATGCTACATTGTCCTGCATTTTGCTTCAACTACCCCAGACTAACACGGCTACATTTCTATCACTATTCTACATGCAAGGCACTACATTTAGCCGTTTGGAATGGAAATCCATCAACCATATGAAGAAACTCGCACAGATACAGACAGACATCATCTTTCTATCCAAGTGCAAGAAAATGGACATCGTACCCAAAGGACTGAAAGTGAACAATCCACTAAGATCAACATACTTCACTGACTACAGTGAAAGACTCTGCCTCACACTATCCAAGAAATTAAGAAACCACCTGATAAGTATTTTATACAAGAAACAGAAAACCATCAAGAATGACATTTCTAACTTAGATCGTCTCATCTCAAGACAAACATCCACACCGACTGACACCTTGCAAGACTTTTGTTCCACCAGACAAGAAATCTACTATACACACTTCTATTCCCTACAACAAAGAAAAGACAATAAATTTTCTAACCTGCTCCATACCACTGGCTACAACAGCAACTGCCTCAACCCACCGGATAATATTGTTAACCTCTCCAGCTACAAACTCAATCCAGCAGAAGAGTCTGTCTTGTCCCGGGGTCTCTCTTTCTGCCCCACGTCCCCCACAAACTGGATACAATTTTGTGGTGACCTTGAGGCTTTTTTTCGCCGCCTCCGTCTCCGAGAATATTTCCAAACCACCACTGAACATCAATCTGACCTACCAGATCCCCCCTACCAACACCAAAGGAAAAATAATTCTATATGGACTCCCCCTGACGGTCGGAATTACAATCTGGATTTCTATATACACAGCTTCCGCAACAACGCACAGACTGACATTATTCGCAAACGACAACAAGCGACACACAATCTTAGCCGCGCTGAACACCATGCCATCCAGAGTCTCAAAAACAACCTGGACATTGTAATCAAACCAGCTGACAAAGGGGGTGCTGTGGTCATTATGAATAAGGCCGACTATAACCAGGAGGCAACCAGACAACTCTCGAACACCACATTTTACAAACCTCTCCCCTCTGATCCCACCTTGGACTACCAAAAGAAACTACACTGTCTCCTTAAAAGCCTCCCCACAGCTACTCGGGAACAAATCCTCACAGAATCACCTTCTGACCCCCGACCAGGATTGTTCTATCTACTTCCCAAGATCCATAAACCTGGGCACCCCGGACGTCCCATCATCTCTGGTATTGGCACGCTCACTACTGGTCTATCCAGCTATGTAGACACTCTTCTCAAACCCTTCGTAACCAATACCCCCAGCTATCTCCGAGACACTACTGACTTCCTAAGGAAACTACAAAACATCGATAACCTCCCCAATAATACCATCCTTGCCACCATGGATGTAGAAGCTCTATATACCAACATCCCACATGAAGACGGATTACAAGCAATTAGAAACACTATCCCAGAGGACACTACTGCCAACCTGATAGCAGACCTATGTAACTTTGTTCTCACCCACAATTATTTCCAGTTTGAGAACAACTTATACCTCCAGATCAGCGGCACAGCCATGGGTACACGCATGGCCCCACAGTATGCTAACATCTTTATGGCTGACCTAGAACAACGTTTCCTCAACTCCCGTCCCCTTTCACCCCTCCTCTACCTACGGTACATCGATGACATCTTTATGATCTGGACACATGGCCAAGAAACACTGGAGATATTCCACAGAGATTTCAACAACCTACACCCCACCATCAACCTCAGCCTGGACCATTCTACACGAGAGATCCACTTCCTGGACACCACCGTACAAATCAACAATGGAAAATTAGACACCACTCTCTACAGAAAACCCACTGACTCATACAGTTACCTACATGCATCCAGCTCCCATCCAGAACACACCACACGATCCATCGTCTATAGCCAAGCCCTTCGATACAACCGCATCTGCTCTAATCCCACTGACAGAGACCAGAAGCTTCAGGATCTCTACCAAGCATTTATAAACCTCAACTACCCACCCGGAGAAATAAAAAAGCAAATTGAAAGAGCCAGACGAATACCTAGAAACCATCTACTTCAAGACAGACCCAAGAAAACCAACAATAGAACACCACTTGTCATCACCTACAACCCCCAACTTAAACCTGTCCAACACATTATCAATAAACTACAGCCTATATTGGAACAGGATACCATACTCAAAGAGGCTCTGGGAGACAGACCCATAGTCTCCTATAGACAACCACCTAACCTCAAGATGATTCTTACCAACCACCACAGGACATACCACACTAATACCAACCCTGGTACCTTCCCTTGCAACAAACCCCGTTGCCAGCTTTGTCCACATATTCACTCTGCTGACACCATTATTGGGCCTAACCAAGTGAGTTATAAGATCAAGAACACATATTCCTGCGCATCCAGAAATATAATTTATGCTATCATGTGCCGAAAGTGTCCGTCTGCTATGTACATTGGGCAAACATCTCAGACACTTCGCCAAAGGATTAATGCCCACAAAACAGATATCAGACAAGATCACAAAGAGAAAACAGTTTCTTGCCATTTTAACCAGAAAGGACACTCTCTCAATGACTTAACCACCTGCATTCTGCTACAAAGACCTTTTACATCTGCACTTGAAAGGGAATCCTCTGAACTGTTATTCATGCTAAAATTCAACACTGCATGGGGGTCTTAACAAAGACTCTAGTTATACATATTCATATACATATTCATTCTCCAATTATCACCTCTAATACCATTAACTCACAAACATCCCACTCTCCCTACCTCTAATATCATCAATTCACAGACACTTACCTTCCTTCCTTCCCCCCCCCCTGCATCGCCCTCCTGTTCTGCAATATGATTTGTCCTTTTCATATTTGTTCTTTTTTTTTTTAATTGTATCCTTTGGTATATATGGTTGTGACTACTTTCTTCCACTATTTGATCTGAGGAAGTGGGTCTGGCCCACGAAAGCTCATCATCTAATAAACCATCTTGTTAGTCTTTAAAGTGCTACATTGTCCTGCATTTTGCTTCAGCTACCCCAGACTAACACGGCTACATCTCTATCACTATTCTGCAGGGAAAAGGCAGAGTTCTACGGCGAAGGCCCGTCACAATGCTTGCTGGAATCTGTAGTACGTGTAGGCCACATCCTGAGAGTAGGGGAGCATTGTAAGCTGGGACATATAGTCAAAAAGGACTGCAGGGCCATGAGCAGGATAAAGTGTTGCATGCTGGGATTTGTAGTTGTTGCCGTAATGCATGCTGGTCTGGCTATGGGGCAGGGCCCAGGGAGCCAATTGCAGAAAATGATTTTTATGGGTAGTCTTAGTGTTCCCTCTATTTTTTCCAATCATGTGTGGAATAAATTTTGTTCTTTGCACTTAGACATGTACATATGTGCACCATATGATGGATAAGGTCAGACCAACATCCATCCAGCCCAGTATTCTGTCTGCCGACCGTAGCCAATACCAGATGCCTATAGAGAGGGATCACAACAGGGAATCCTCACATGATCTCTCCCCCTTAGCACCCACCTCCAGAGAAACAGAGCCCAGTGACATCACCCATCCTTTCTAATAGCCATTGATGAACCTAACCTCCATTAATCTATCTACCTCCTTTCTGA